GTTATGGATCATCGACATAAATATATCCAATATGTAATAAGAGTGAATGGCGTTTCAAATAAGTGGTCTGAAGTCGCGCGCGGCGTAAATACAAAGAGATTGCGTAAATAAATTCGCAGCTCAGAATAAACAGCGGCGAAATGACGTTTAGTAGATACATCCTTTCGGTAGTACGTTCTCATCGAATCGCACGTGCCAAAACGCGACAAATGATAGCTGGCTTCTTTCGATTAGATTGTCCATTTGGCTTAATTGGCAAGTACGTACGCGTCTGGCGAGCATCCGCTTGGATAGTAACTATGATTTAAACTATTTAGAACGAATCGGTTCATTACTCGATCCTTCGTTGACGCATTATTTGCGTTTTACTATGCGCGATATATAATCACAAATTTGTACGTTTCAATTCATTCAAAAAAGCCGCCTAAGTACCTAAACGGATGTCCTATGTATGTCTAAACTGAGTCAATATATTAAGTTTATTTTATTCTCTCTCTATGTGCATTGAATAATACAAAGATTTTTGGATTTAATAATTTTATAGAAACATATTAATACATTTTTTGCTAGTAATAATATTATTAATTATAAAAATACTTCAAGTACATATTCAGATAGTACGGAAAGTCCGAAAAGAATTTTTGCTCATTTTCGACTTACGAAATAAATTCCTGTTTCGTTTAATTTCTATTCTAAAAATATTCCTGAGAGTTCCAAAAATTTCATTTTTATATATTACTGCAATTGTGAGTTTTTTTCGAATACAAAAAGTGTTCTTTTCTAATTTTTTTCTATTTTTTAATTTTGTATTGTATAAGAATAAATTATATTTTGGTTTTTATAGTAAACTAAATATTACTTTTATTAAAAGTAATATATGCACATAAATATGTTTTTGTATATTTTTGAAATCTTTTTCAGTTTATTCCAAACAGATTACAATTCATAAACAACAAGAAGGCGACTTTCTGAATATAAATAGAATATCAGTTGTGCTAGCTGGATTTAAATGTATTAAAATATTAAATTATAATAATATGATTTTAACGTTAGAACTTGGAATAATATTTGTGTATTATTATTGATTACTATTATGATTACTTCATATAATTTTCCAATATCTTTATGCCAATTTATTTATTTTCAATTATTATGTCAACTTGGTGATCAATTTGGTTGTGTCAATTTATTTAATAAATCTAGAAATTTGATTGTTTAGAAATTCAAAATGTATTAATTTTTTTTATCACAAGAAAAGAAAGTTCTTTACTACCAGAATATCATAGTTTTTCTTTTACTTATTTAGATTTATTAAAAGACAAACAACGCAATTTAAAATAAAAGATAATAAAAATATGGATTAAACTGATAATTTAATTAAATACATTTTTATGTAAAAAGTCAAATAAAGAAGCTTAAGTCGGCAGTGAAATGAATCAGCGATAAGTTAGACGTGAACACGCGCCACGTATAAGCACAGTAATGAGTAACAGCGGATATAATGCCAACTGTTTTAGATTCTGACTCAGCGGATCCCCGCTAGATCCACATTTTAAAATTATTTAACAAATTCTGTTGGGGCAGTGGATTTAAATAAATCGCGCAATTGCGTTGCTTTCTCATGTCAATTCGCACGAAATATTGAATGTCCGTGTATATCGAGATTTTTTGGCAGCGAAAAAACATTTAACACATGAATGAAAATTTATCTCGCGTAAAGAATCCCTTAATAGAACATCTCTACAGATGATGTGTCGATCTTTATCTAGTAGCAATATAAACTTCTTTTATAACGGCACAATTTTAGAGCAATATTCGATTTTTATTTAATTTCATTATCAAAATATTCCTTGATATTAATTTTTAAAATGTTTTCTTAAAGAAGCAGATCAATTAATTATTAATTAGCACAATACTTTTTTTCGCATCGTTAGAAGATGCAATATCTGTAAAGCAACGATATTGACATAAGCATATTGTTTGTGGAAATGTATTTATGCGTTAATTTGGTAACTATCTGCAAAATTAGGTAATAAAGAAATTTTAGGAAACAACAATAATATTAAATAATTGTTAGCTGTAAGACATCTCGCACATACAAAAGATTCACTCGTCGGTCTAATCACGCATTTAAGATGCGCCACTTAAGACGAATATATTATGGTATAGTCGATTGGTCCCTTCCGGAATTAATGTAGATTCGTGTAAATTTACTTGTTCTACATGAGGAGACTTGCAATAGTACGAAATTGAATGTTTAGCCAGCGAGAACGGCAGTGTCAGATCGCGTATATGTTCGTTCTCTATCGTTGCGTAAGGCCGCCAAATTTAGCTAGTGGACGGCACTTAAAAACGGCGATATCGATTACAAAATAATCCCGGCCCCACATAATCGTCATCACCGATTTCACGTAATAACGCAATTAATTAATAATAAACATGATTAATTGTCAACATTTCAAATTTTATATTATTGGCATTAATAATAAATTAATGCACACATCTTTCGGATTAATTGATGTCACTTGGATCGAACAATCTTAATTAAGAAAATTAATTACACTTTCCGTCACAATTAAATATTATATATTATATGTTACATTAAATTATATTATATATTAAAAGAATAACGCATCGCGAATGCAATTAGCTTAAATTAGAGAATGCACCATTATGATATTGCATCTTCCATTAATAATCATCGAATTTTATCATATATGGAATCAAAAATTCGTTTATTATTTAACTTTGCAGACGACTAGCAATTCATATGTAAATAAATTTTAAAAAACAATGTATTAATTAATGTTAACATTTATTGCTTTATTTCAAATTTTGGCGAAAAGATCAATATTGCAATAATTAATCGACGTGCTTTTTTGCGAAAACATTTTATTATTAGAAGTTAGTGTCACAAAGAGTTGATAGTGTCATTTATAGATAAAAATTAAACATTGTTCTGCAACTGTGCTTATAAGAACGTTCATATTGAGAATGAAAATTAATATCAGATTGTATAGCGGTCATTTTAATTGCAAAAGAAAGTTTGCTGCTTAAAAGGTGGATAATATACATTAATAATGCACAAAGATGATGAAAAGTACCATATATTTAATTTGATTGTATTTTAGTGAGGGTCATACATGCACTGTTAGAGAAGAATACATTTAGCACATATGTATACGTAAATAAATAAGCGCGGTAATTTAATTGCTCAACCGTATGATTATGATTTCGTAATCTCAATTATGACAGATGACGTTTGTCTTAAGCACTACATTAACGATGCCAACACCGATTAGGAACGCGAGTGATGTATGATGTTAATTTCATTCACATTGAGAATGATGTTCGCCACATTGCATCACAATTGAACACGATAAAATACTTGCATAATTAATCAAAGCGCGCATTTGCAAAACTTTTTCCTAGAGAGAATTCTTCAAATTCAACTCTCAACAGAAGGGTATTTTCACTGCAAATCCCTCGAACTTACACATTTCTAGATTTCTTTTGGAACATGAAAATATGATGTAGAAAAAAATGCCCTTCGACTTTGAAAAAATTGCGAATCAAATTTATATAAAATTCAAACTAATTCCAATCTCCAATAAGTGCGAAACTCTGTAATTTTAAAATCAAAAACAAATCTTTTCAAAACTTTTTAAAAGCAATAAAATTTATTAAAAAAAAGAGAGAGAATTGTGATTTAAAATAAAATATATCTCAATTAAGGTACATCTCACACAAAAACCAAAATGGTATACAAAAAGAAAAAATTTCCATGTGTTCGCCGAGACCAAGAATGTTTTTCTTATAACAAGATTATAAAAATTATATAACAAGAAATTTTGTATTTCCAGTGCAAAAGTGATACGTAGAAATATACATAATAAATCCAAGGATAGATCCTGGTAACGATCTATGTCCGCACACTGACTTTGTCGCGAAGAAACAAATGAAGACGTGTGGCGCGAAAATCGGGTCGCCCTTACCTAAAAACGATCGTCACGAGGTGTTATCCCCCAGGATGCTGTTTCCTCGGAAGTAGCGGCACGACTCCCACGATCGTTGCGACGCCCGAATTATTTCCCACTCTTCGCGTTCACGTTCTATCCCTACTTATCTACTGCCTCCCGGTGGTTCCACGGAGACGTGTGGAGAACCGACGAGACGCACAGAGTGGTTCCAATTCTTTCAAAAGCTCGCCAAAACCTTATTTTTTAATTGTTCGATTAACTTTACAGTCGAAATACTATTTGATAATAACACGATATTATTTTCTCATTAGTTAATCCAGACAGTTAAAGGGAGACCACTCTGATGCATCACAAGCAAAATTTTTTTAAATCAAATATGAAAAGGTAGAATATTAAATTATTATTTAAATTATTACATTATAAAATTAAGGTATTACTTAAATATATAATTCATAAAACGCTTTATTTGAAATTATTAATATTAACACAAAAAATGATATAATGGAATCTATGCGTTTTGATTTATACCTAGGAATTTTTTTATTTATTATATAAAAATATTTTTGAAATATCAAAATTGTGATAAAAATTTTCGAAATATTAAAAATATTACATAACTCAACGAATATTTTGCTATAAATATTTTTAAAGAAGAAAAATTCGAGAAAAAAAACGATAGTCCTCCACGAATCCGCCAACGTACTTTCTAAATTTTTTAGAACGAAATCTCACTCTAAAGAAATTAAGCCTTGAAAATTAAGTCTTAAAAATGACTCAATTTTTAATTGTTTAAGAGTGACATTTTCACTCTTTTAAGTAATTTATTTACTTAATGTAGTATCAAAAATATTAATATAAATTATTTTATTATTAAAACTAAATAATATATAAATAATTTTGATCGAACTTTTTGAAATTATTGTGTAACGTGGATGCAGTTCTCTTGATAAAGTATACAGGTACCGGGTGGCCGGATGCCCGTCGGCATGACAACTTCGTCGCCGTAATAGCACAACAAATATGAATTGCGCCCGAGGTGGCCACGATCGTCGCTTAACGTTGATTGCAATTATTTTCGCGAATTTCGCGAGTGCATTTCACGGGAACAATGGGGTACTCGAGTACTGGGATCCGGATACGTGCAAATATGATGAGTACTTCGATCCAGTCTCCTTGTCCTGCTCGCGATGCAACATCAGCCGGAATCTCGTACCGGCCGCGGACCGTAAGTGCACGGTTTGATTTTATTCACTCGTTTATAAGTTGTTCGGGTCGTTCTTCTGTCTTTGTGTATGTTTCCCGCAGATCTGCGATGTCGATGTGACGAGTTAAGCGAAATGATCGGTTATGAGAACGGCAATCCACTTTGCGCCGCATGCAGTCCCAACATGACAGCGACCACTGATGGAAAAAATTGCGTCCTGCGCCCGAATGCACCGTGCAAATGTTCTTCGAATCAAATAAGACGTAATCTCAAATATTCTCACTTTGATACTTTGTTGACATGTTGTGCTTGATACTGTCATCTCTACTGAGAAGAAAACCCGAGTTGTGGCAAAAATTTTATATGTAAAATTAATGTATATACTTGTATAAACTATTTTATAATTATTAATTATAATTATAACATCTACAGTTTATACATTCAACTATATATGTACAACATTCTATGCATAATATAAAAATTTAATTCTATTCATTCTAATAAGTATAATATTCAAAGGCTCCAAAATGAGAAGGTAAATAATAAGCCCATGTGAGCCGTCACAAGTTGTAATGTGTGTGTAAAATTGTATTCTTCAAAGAAATTATACAGACGTTTCGACAATTGATTTTGTCCTCTTCAAGTGCCAATATTATAATCCAGAATTAGTATTGATTGTGATAATAACATAAATTGATTACATCTAAATTCCCTGGTGTCATCTTTATTCAAAATTGTTCTAACGTCGTCTGTTATATCTAGCAGGATATTCAAACTATGATGAAAGTCACTAAGAATAAAATGGAAATAAAAAAAAGAGATTATGCAGGAATTTATTATTGCATACATTTTTTTATGCTTTTGCTCGCAGTGGACCGAAATATAAATGGCGCACTGTTGGATTCTGTGCTCTGTGTAACGTGCCTTCAGGGCACATATCCATCTGCCGATTGTTCCAAATGTTTGCCATGCGGCAACCGTGAAAACAGCGGTCACGTTAATTGCGTATGTCCGAGTGTAACACACGTGAGACTAAGAAATTATTGTCTGCACAAAGACGATGTCACTGACTGGCCAGATATCAGAAGCACGTATCTGATGAAGTTCCGCAGCGGACACATCGATAGTTATTATCTGAGAAGCGAACTGCAAGTCGCAGCGCATCTTTGCAAGGTGATAAGATCTTAGATCAGAGTCGAGAGATTTTTTATATTTAAGAGAGAGAGAGAGAGAGAGAGAGACTGTCTTAAATACAATCTTAAAATGTCATAATTCGATTATAAATTACACTAGCATCTTAAGATATTACTTATTAATGATAAGCACAACTTTTTTTTATACGTATACATAATTTATTTAAAGTGTTAGATATAAATATTATATTGTAAAAATATTTCTTTATATATAGTATATCTAACGCGACTTCAGATATAATCTTAAGAAAAAGAATTGTGACTATGAATACTGACTTAAGACTTTATCAAAAACATGAAAGACTTTAGTAGTAATTACACTGCTGTTAAAATGTGTAATAAATAATTGCATAACGCATAAAGGCTGTGATTAACGGTTTTCAGAAGAAAGACAGAATAGCATGTGAGCATTTGTCGAACATATGCGCTCTGACTCTTTATAGTGACGGTATAGCTTGCATGTTTTTTATGCATACGCCCATGGCACCCGTATGGTTGTTTTACAATAGACAAGACGCGGCAGCGGTACTGAACAACACGAAGATATCCGAGAGATATAGCTTCAGAAAAGGAGATAATGTACAGTATATTATAGAAAAATTAGGAAATTATCATAAAATTTTATTATGATATAATAACTGAATTATCAGATGGTATTCATCTTTAGAATATAATTAGGAACGAAATAATATATTGTATTTTTTCAGAATACCATTCTCAATTTTACGATTGCAAGATTCGCATTAAATGGCAAATTCTTGTCTATCGATAGACCGACTTTACCCTGTCAGTTTCTGAGAAATGTAAGGTTCGGTGTAAATTTCAGCAAAAAATGTAAAACTACTCCTGTTGAATTACTCAACGCACAAGTAGAAATGCTATCTCCTTATTTAGCGTTTAAAGAAGACAATAAATCATTTATACACGCATTACCTGTGATTGTTAAGTCGCCAGATCAAGTAAGATCTCAACAATAATTATAATAATGATAACATTTATACAATAATAAAATAATTATTATATTTTCTTGCTTTGTAGAATATTAAGGAAATTTCAAATCAGCAATTGGTACGAAAATTCTTTCTGGTCGATAATGTAAGTGGTTTCAAAGCGTTACCGATGTTTGTACACAATGGATTTACGAAGGCATCAAAACTTTCCGTACTTCGTTATATGAAATCTTTGACTATCTTGTAAGTCGATCATAATTTTCGTTACAAATTCTTTTGCGACCAATCAATATTAATTTTATTTTCAGAATAAACGTTCAGAATAGAAAAGATCACGGAAAGGTTTTTGCGCCCATTCTAATTATAGAGTACGACGAGTTAACGTATCAAGATATCCTTGATAATTCCGATATTACACTAAATTACAAAGTCGCATTTATGCTAAAAGATAACGATATAGATTATAATGTTCAGGTAAAAATTCATGTATTATAGTATTTTATTTTTCTTTTAAGTACTTAATATATATATATATATATTTTTTTTTAGATAACTATTGGAGTGTTTACGGGAATAGCATTAATATTTTCCAGTATCAAGGCGTGGAATTATTATAAACGTAATCATAACGGTAATCTTAGTATAACCGTTTTATTATGGTTTCTGATCTATGCCATGGGTGCGGTTGGAAATGCTATCACATTTGTATGCATCTGTACATGCGTATATCTGTTTGTCTTTTATAAAGCCCAAACTGTACCGTATGTTCTTCTTCCTAATGAAGATAGTGAAGAAAAGATCCGAACATATATTACCATAGCATTTAGTTTTAAAGTAAGTAAAGTAATGTAACATTTTATCTAAAATTAATTAACGGAAATATGTTACAACAATTTATTACACAAAGTTTGTTGAAATTTACAAATTAAATTGAACATCAATTTAACAATGCTAATGGCATACTGCAAGATAATTTATTGAGAAAAAAAATGAGATATACTGCAAGATGATTTATTGAGAAAAAAAATCTCAGTTAGGATTTAAACTTGAAGCTCTCGACTATCCGGAATAGGACTAATTTTGATGAAATTCTATCATTTTCGTTTCTTTCATTTAGATTGCAGAAATAATAGGATTCATCTATCAGCACTGGGATTTAAGTGTGTTTTTCATCGACTGGGAACAACCAAGGACAATACATAATCAACCGAAGTACGATTCTCCGCGTACTTCTTTACAGAAATTGTATTCCAACAGATTTCCAAAAGACGAGGCTAAATCTTCGAGGATAACATCGGATGTCATCGCGTCCAAACGAAGGAGGAGATCGCACAAGACAAACAAGAATACAAGCACCAGTGAAATGTCCAAGTCTTCTTCGATTGAAAAATACACGCCAGATTTTTCTTCCATTTGTTCAATCGCAAGGTCGCCTTTGCAGGAGACAACCGAACGCAGTTACGCACACGATTTTCCGATCAGCGTTTGGAGAACCTACTTCATCGCGAACGAATGGTGCAAGCTACAAAGCAGAAGAAGGATAAATGTAGCATTGCAATCAATTTACACTCTATGTTTCTTGCAGGTCAGCAAAAAAGAAATTTTATCCGTAGCATAAGAGCACAACAAAATTTGAACAAAATACAAACTCGGAGAGAAAAGAGCACTAGGAGTCAGATAATTTTACGCAAATGCTGATATGTATCAAACAAAACTTTTTTATTATAATAATTATGCTAACATGTTTCGGCTCATTTTTTAGCCTTCTTCAGAAACAATGAAATTATATAAATAAAAATAAAAAATAAATGATCAAAAGATGATGTTTAATCACAGTGAGTTCCTCCACAACTAAGAAATCAAATCTAATATTAATTTCTTTTCTCTTCTTTCTTTATTTATTTTTTCATTTCCTGTTTATTATAATATGTACGCTAGATAAAATTAACATCAGATTTGATTTCTTGGTTGTGGGGGAGCTCACTGTGATTAAACATCTTTTGATCTTTTTTTTTTATTTTTATTTATATAATTTCATTGTCTCTGAAGAAGGCTAAAAAATGAGCCGAAACATGTTAGCATAATTATTATAATAAAAAAGTTTTGTTTGATACATATCAGCATTTACGTAAAGTTATCTGCGCTTGACTCCTAGTACCCTTTTCTCTCCGAGTTTGTATTTGATTTATACAGGATTTTTGTTATTTAAAATTATACGTTTTAAAATTTGAATAACTATATTGTTTTAGATATTCGATTTGGAATCGTGGATGTTAGCGGTACCAGAATCGACCGTCGCGAATATATCCTCGGAAACGGAGAACAATTTTACGTTGCAATTCGCAATTTGCACGTTCATGTACATATTTATATATCTCTCACAATGGTTGATCCGTTTTACATTTTACGAGAGATACATTAGAAACAGACTGCAGAAGTTCGTAGATCTATGCTCGATCGCGAACATCAGTGTATTCATATTGGCACACAATTATTATGGCTTTTATATCCATGGAAGGTAGTTTAAGTGTGTTTCATACGATGGCAGAGATAATTAATAATATTGCTTTTGATAGATCAGTACATGGATTTGCGGATACTGATCTTCCTACTCTGATAAACGATTTGAAAAAGGAAGAAGACGATTTATGTGCACATAGAGGCCTAGTACCCGGCACAACCGATCAGACTTTTATATTATCATTGACCCATTCGTTTAAATCATTATATGATGAATTTATGAGGCAAAAGAACAATGTATGTATGAGATTGGAAGAATACACACACACACACACTGTTAACACTTTATTTATTTTTATATCTACAAAAAAGAAAACTTTTAATATAATATTTTTTTAAAGAAAGACTACTATGCAATTTAAAAATCATTATTCTACAGTTTGTAATACATTTTGCACAGGAAAGTGTGGGAATTTTAAAAGGAAGCGACACACCTAGAAATTGGAAACAGTTATTTGAAACTAGGTCAAAAATTAGGCTCTTTCTAATGCAATTTCTGGATCATTGCTTGGAAAATGAAGATTATATAATCAAAGAGCAGCATATATTAGAAAAATTGTGGAACATTCTTTTTGTAGATACCACAGACAAATCTGTTTTTTATATTGGTACTAGAAAATTGCAAAAATTCTTAATGATCAAATTTAATGCAGATGGTGTCATTTTTAATAAATCTAATTTTATTTTTACAGATAACAATTATTCCTTCAACAAAGTAGTGCTTCATGGAAATGAATGGTTATTAGCAACATTTGAGATCACAGTGTTTGCCTTCTTTTTGATATTGTGTAATTCTTACATTTTCGCTTGTATAGCGACAGTTGTCATATCGCAATTATTCTTAATAATCATTAGGTGCAATGTTAAGAGAAATCTCTGCAACAAATCATTATTGGACAAGAGGTTTCTAATGTAACTATAATAAAATTAATAATAATTAAACAGATATTAACTAATACATTATAGCTATTACTTTTGTAATTTATTTTTGTAACTTATTTAGATACCTTTACACTCTACTATTTCTTACTTGTTTATATCATTTTAATATTTAAAGAAAACACTAATGATGACCATTTCCATGCTTGTCCTCATGATGACCATGCCCTGAGTAATCAATTCCAAAATATTGTTCAACAGCGATAGTTATGAGGAATGCTGGTACACCAACTCTCCAACCTCTCGTTAAACATATAATACCGCGCATAAAAGGCGATGCACTTCTCTTGAAACGCCACACATGATTTCTTAGCCAAGGATCCTTCAATCCTTTCTTGGCTAATTCTTCTTGAACATGTTTCAATTCTGGTACATCTTCCACTTTAAAAATATCAGGGCTGGGTATTTTATATGGTGGACCATGATGGTGTACATCGTGACCTCCCATCTGTAGAATATATAGATTATATATTTTTTTCAATACAGTATATATGCATTTCAAAAATAATTACTAATCAGTTATTAATTAGATTGTTATTTAACAATCAATAATAATTGTCCCCAATATTTACTTTACATTGTATATCAATACAAAAATTCAAATATCTATGTATAATAATTTTTAATAATATATTACTAAATAACAAGATATTATATTTCTAATTGCACGATTTCCATAAAAGCAATTTTTGCAACAACATACTGTGTTTAATGATCATAAATTATTTCTTTAATAACATATTCTCAGTTACAGTAAATATAGAGGTTAATTTTTGTCGCTCTAAGATTGAATCTATGTCCAAAGAAATTATTGATTCTAAAACTATGAAAATGTTTCAACAAAATATTTTATTATAAAAACATATTTATTATCACGTACACTGTGAGAACAAGGTTAATATATAAATGAAATTATGTAACTTATCCCTCTTGAATTATTTTGGAATAATCAACAGTATGAAGGGAAGGAAGATATAAAGGTGCTTTTTCATGCGCAGCACGCTGCAGCAGCAATTCGTTACTATTGGTTAAGAATTTTATGTAAGGGCGGGTTCACACCTTGACGGAAAAACGGAAAGCGGAAAAGCAGTAGCCAATCAGGTAGTCGACTTTCTGTTAGTTTTGTACTATTTACTACCAACGCGAGTTCTGATCGGTTAACTGCTCTTCCGCTTTCCGCTTTTCCGTCAAGATGTGAACCCGCCCTAAGCTAAATGACTTATGGCTGCCGCAGATAGAACGCGGAAACGCTTGCCGCGCGGCGGAAGTTGGCACGATAACCAATATCTTGCCGGCGAGTCGCTGATTGGCTGTCGCGACAACTTCCGCCGCTCGACAAGCGCTGCCGCGTTCTGCCTGCGGGAGCCATTAAGGTTGATTTATACTGGCCGTAAACTGTTAACTTATGCCGTAATCTGTAAAAATTGACCAATCACAGTTGAATGAGAGGGGAATAATCGATTATAATTGGTCAATTTTTACAGATTACAGCATAAGTTAACAGATTACGGCCAGTATAATCCAACCCTTACTTCCGGCGCAAAATACATTTTGCCGCAGTTCGTTGAAATTGAACCGAACGAACAGCAAGCAGCAAGCGGCAAAATCGAGAAAGCGTACAATATGTCCGTCGTTTTATTATGAAAATATTATTTATTGCAATAAATATGGCTTCGGATAAGGTACGGATACATGTTTGTAAATTAGATCATTTTATACTTTACACTATACTTTTTCAAGTTTGTGATAAAGTATAAAATGATCTAATTTACGAACATGTATCCGTACCTTATCCGAAGCCATTTTTCGTTTATTTTTCTAATATTTATTGCAATAATAGTAACGAATTGCTGCTGCAGCGTGCTGTGCATGAAAAAGTACCTTAATAGATAGGTCCATGGTAGAAATACAAGGGTATTCTCTTGCGCATCCCAAAAAAATCCAGCCAATGAAAATTGCAGCTTGACAGCGTCATCACTAAGAGGCAAATTTGAATTGTCTAACGACATTAGCACAATAAGGGTGCAGTCCCATGGAGTGTATCGCGCGTATCGCGGATTAGAGGATCGCCAATCACAGAATCGTTCTGTTAGATTTGATTACAAAATTTGTAAACAGATCTAACAGAACGATTCTGTGATTGGCGATCCGCTAATC